TACCATCTGACTATCCTTCATGATTTTAGATCCATAATTAAAACTGTAGGGTCAGAAGCACTTGCTTCATTTTTAAAAAGAAAAGGTGGGGAGAAGAAAGCACTGATATTTTCATGCTGTTGAATTCTGTGACACAAGGTCCTATGGTGGAATAATTCAGAGACAAAACTTGAGGAAATGAGTTAGATGACTAGTCAGTGTGTTTATTTCCATGATATAAGTAGGCACAGTGAAATCTCTTCTGTTAAAGTGAAACCAAATTAGCAAATTTAAAATATTAGTGCTCTTCTTTCCGGACTGTCTCAATACAACCCAAGAACTATGAGCTTTGAGACTGGAGTGGTTCTATTCAGGGTTCCCTCATACTATGCCTTATATTCAGAAAGTTTTAAATGGAGATATTTATTACATTACCTATGCACCCCACCTTTAGTAAGGAAATAGGCACTCTTATTAATAAATTGGAATAAAGCTAAGCAATATGCAGGAAGAGCTTGCCTACGATAGAAAAGCTACTGGTAAAGCAACTTAACACACACTGAAAAAGAATTGATTGCATTTGCCTGGATCAGAATATTGGTTCAGCAGCAATCAATGAAGTAGCAGTCTTGTGCCAGTTACACATCCTTCAGAATTTAGAAGTCTGAGAGTTCCCACTCACTGATACCATGCTGTCCAAACCCTTGTAATATCTTGATAAAAAAGATGACATTTGCCCAAAATAACTGAGTGCAGCTGAGCTATTGACCTGCACAACTGTCTACAATAAGGAAATCTACAGATACACTGTAGATTGTACAAGAAAATATTTTCATGTTGCACAATCTCTAGTTATATTTTGTTACAAATAGAAATTCCCTGTTCAGTATCCATGTTCAGTTTACTGTTTCTTCTAGAAGTTTTCCACATGAAAAAGCAAAAACACACCTTTGAGTTCCCTCCTGCTACTATACCTGCTTCTAAATGGTGCCTAAAAAGTGTAATGAACAGTTCAAGAGAAATAAAATTGAAGCCATTTAAACCCTTAACTGATACCAGATTACAATGTAGCCAATCAGTTTACACTTGTAAACAGATTTTTAAGGAAAAGTCAATTTACTTCTCATGTGTATACATCAGGCAAATAGAATTTCTTGCCTTGGTGTTTAATTGCACCTATATTGTTTAGGGGGTTATTTTAAACTGCAGTACATTTGAACTGATGACTTTTTATTAAAAATATATATTTTCTAACATTTAGAGTCTGACACACTGGATGTATATTAAAAACCTACTGCAACCAATTACACAAGCCTGCCTGAAGTATTGCCATAGTAATTTCCTTCATCTTTTTCCACCCATACAAACTGAGTTTCATTTTTTAAAACTTGCACTTCATTTCATTGGGAAAGGGTGCTTATAGTCCTCTCCTTTAAATATAATAGTGTCTTGTGAGTATTGCTTAATCTTGGCTATTAAATTGTATGTGTTTAAATTTGTTCAAAGCCACTTTGGTAATATTTATCTATGCAAATATTGTGAGCTTTGAGGCTATTTTATTTGGACATTTCCTGCAAAAAATGCAATTAGTGGCTCTGCAGTTGTTTTGTGGACTTTAAACTGCAGAACATGTTGGTAGCCACTGGCTTTTACTGCTCCTATCCAATTGGCATTTATTTTGTCATCCTTGTATGGAAAAAGCTTTAGAACTGGGAATTCTATTGAAATTATGACATTTAGATTATTAGAAGCTTTACTTTATGTTTACATGAACATCACCAGCACTAATGTTACTTGGGATGTTTCCACCAGTGTCAATATTACCACAGATAAAATAATGGGACATGGTTTAAATGTGTGGTGTCTGTATGTAAAACAAAACTCTTGTTTAGCATGTTTAAACCAAGCTGTGGTTATTGTACAACATTAACACACCAGAACAGGAATCCATAGTGTTAAGAGTGTTAAAGTAGACACAGTTTTCAGCAGTCCAGATTAAACATGATGCTGAGTGTGTAGGATTGCCAGTGAATAAGATTTTGGTATACATGTCATCTCACGCTTGAACTGAGAAAGAGCTGTGAACAATTGTAAGTTGCATAATTATGTACATTGCATTGAGTGTTTTTCGTTGGGGGCAGGGGTTATCCAATAGTAGCTACACAGTAAGATGATGTAGAAATTTCTGACCAGTATGCCTATAGATTACCTTATATGGGAAATATCATCAGCAAAAATGTGGCTTCTGCAAGTGAAAGAGCTTAAAATTCATGCATGTCAGTGCTGAACTGTCCAAATGGCTTCAGCTGCTAACTTGAAAGTATAACTGAGTGAGCAACATTTTTGTTTCAGGGCAGTAATACTTAAAGAACCAGTTCAGACCTTGCACAGGGAAGATGCTTTGGCTTACTAATTTGGATTTTCATTCACCTTTAATGTCCAAAGGTGAATGCCCTCAGTTTTACTGCACTGCCATTTTACAATCTTTTAGTAAAATCATTTGATAATAGCATCACTGGCTACTGGAAGATAAGGCTAAATGTGTTTATGTGCTAGACTTTTTGCAAAAACGTTGCAAATTAAACCTGATTTTGTTTGCTCATAGTTGGACAAATGTCTCTGCTCGTGCAATATCAAATCTATGCTTTGAATAAGGCATGCAGAATCTCCATTTTTCAAACACAATTCTGTGAGGTTGATACATGTTGATATTTACAATGTTTTTTAAAAATACACTTTGATGTGACTTGTAAGCTACCTTGAAAGGAGCTGATTCTTGGATAAAGGTGAACTATTACAGTAATACATACGTAAACATGGCTGCAAAGACAGCAGCCTCTGGTTAACTTAAAAGTACCAACCTGGCAGCAGCATCTGTAAATAACATATAAACAGGGTTGATATCTGAAAAACCAGTGAACAAAGCTATAAGCAATGTTGATGCATTTACCTTCAGCAGTCATATGAGATTGCTTACTGTAAATTTATTTAAATTTAGAAATTAAGGCTATCTTCATAGAGTAGTACTGTGAAAATAAGGGCTAATACAAAGTAATTAGTTTTGAATGATTGAGCATATTCTTAAGTCATTGAGTCTGCAAAATAACATAGAACTAAATAATAATATTTGGCAAATTGATTTAAAGCCTAAGCCCATTTATCAGTATTTATCAAATACAGTTAAAATGAACTTTGTTGTACTTGAGAAAAAAATATGTTTATTTGTGCTGTACTGTTACCTCAGCAAAAAGCACCTTGGAAACAGATTGGCCTTAAGTATTAATAATTACAGTTAGGAGTTATCTTACAGCCAAAGGTCTCAGGGATATGTACATAATAAAAGCAGAACAAGTATAAGGCTAGAGATCTGAGCAGGGCTGTGAAAGAGGATTATTTTGGAGAACACCCAGAGTTGCCATAAATTGGAAAGAAATAAGTGAAATAAGCATTAAAATAAGCAGCCAATACAAATCATTAAGCTAAAATAGATTTAAAAGCTGCATGGGAGATATAGGTCATCTCTCTCTGAACTGATCCTAGTGATGGACTGACATCCAGTATCACTGTTGCAATCCAGAACTTGCATCCAATCAACAAAGGACTTTCTGAAACATCTGAGCTGTCTCAATATTGCTCAAAGGTAGTCCTGCAAAGAGTGTGATAGTAGTATGTGGCATGGTAATGGCATTTGTTATGATGGCCAGATTAACCACCTTTAGGAGTGGGCATAGTTGGACCAATCTCAGGTGAGTAAAGGTACTGGCCACCACTGACATCTGGACGTGCAAGTATAGGAGTGAATCCAACCTTACTTCAAACCACAAACTTTATTTTTCAGGGGGAAGGCATCCAGTCACCCATTTGACTAGAATTTTGTCTTGAGTTACGTTTCACTTTGCTTGGTTTTGTCAATACATCTTCAGATATTGTTTTATCATTTGCCTTCCAGCAGCTTCTAAAGGGAGATGAGGCTGCAACGCTGCACACATCGCAAAGTGGCATGATAGATGCACGGCATTGTGCTGTTAAACTCCATCCCACACTTTTATAAAAAGATATTGGTCTAAAGAGTTCATTAGCAAAATCAATTTCTGTAATTTTTCAGAACAAGGAATCAGTTTCCTTAAATTGTTTTTAAAATTCAGTTGTACAGTGCTAAATGTATACACAAAGATGCAAACATAAATAATTGCAAATTATTCAGCCTATGATTCAAAAAGTTGCAACTGAGCAACAAAATGGAATCCTATAGATGTTTTATAAGAAACACATCAAATTTCAGCCACGATCTTATACATGCCACTATTGGCTTACAGCACAATCCAATACGTGTACATGAAAATAATTTGCTCGAGTTCAATGAAACTTACTCGCAAAAAACGATATGGGATTGCAGCGCGAGTTAGCTTCCTATTTGTGTTGTAATCGCTACGATGCCGTATCTCACAAGGTTGAGGGGAGAACTGCATATAATGCACAGAAAGTACTTTGAACAATTGAAATGGCTAATTGGCTCACGTCCAAACCGATTTACAGTTCCACTGGTAATTTACAGCAGGCTAGGGCTGAGCATGGCTCCTCCTAAATTAAGACCCATTGAATTAATTTTGCAGCCCTAATAGTGTAGGGCTGCAAAAGCAAAATCCTAAAGGCACTTGCGTGAGAATGACCACAGTTAATGAATGCTGGGTCGAGGCAAGGCTCCATCTGCCCGTATGAAACAAGTAGGACATGAGTACGATCCTGCTCGCGGCAACTGGTGCACGTCGGCATACTGACCCAAATGCTAGAGCCATCTTACAGCCACCAGGACTAGTGACCACTAACATTCTCGTGGTGTTAGTCCTGCTTAACTATTGAAATTAATGGGAGTTAAACTGAATACCACCCGCCAGTGTCCCGCCGCAGAACATAAGGCACAAAACAGCAACACAAGCAGAGCCGAGCCCACTTTCCCGCAGGATCTTCCGCAAACCAAACGCCTGACGCACAGGAAAAGCCTCGTGTGCCGGGAGCTCCTCCCCTTCCTGTCTGGGACTAGTCGGCGGAAGGCAGAGCGCAGGCGAAGGAGAGACCCGTGGCTGGAGGACCGCTTTCCCTCCTTGGCAGGCACCCTTGGCAGGCGTGCGGCCGGGGTGGTCTCAGTGTAGCCGGAGCCTCCTTCCGTGCCCCGCCTGTCCCTCTCCCGAGAAGACGTCCTCGTTGGCACGGTCCTTTCCGCTGCGCGTTCCACATGGTTTTGCACGTGGGAAGGTGGTCCTAGACCTGAGTTAAAAGACGGTGCTAGCAGCTTCGCTTGCATCCTGGATCTAGAAAGAAAGGAGCGGAAAACGTAAGAGGAGAGTGACGGCTCGGAGCTGTGTTTGGAGTTTTCAGCCTCCACGTGTTTTGAGGTTTTGTCTTGTTTGTGCCTACAGTATAGTCCTGTATGGGTCTGTTCAGAAGAAGAATGCCTGATCCTAGTTTCGAAGCGGGTATTGTATATTGTAGGCTGTGAGCCTGAAGAGGCTTTGGAAGCAACCCCATCCCTGTTGAGAGAGGGAGAGAATGAATGAGAGAGTCCTACAATTCCCAGCATTCCTCAGCCATTCCCTACTGGCTGGAGGTTGCTGGGAGTTGTAGGACTTTTCTTCTGTCTAAGCAAGCGTAAGACTGCTCTTAACTTGAAATGTTAGTGTGTGTGAGACTTTATTGTAAGAAATTTTGCTGTTTGGCTTGGAACTGCATTTATTATTGTTTATATGAAATGTCTTGCTATATTTGAGAGAATTGTACTGAAGGCTTTATAATTTAGAGCCTTTGCATATTCATGACAGGTGTGTTGCAGTCTTATGCATTTGAGAGCAAGTGCCCACCAAAATCAGTGTAATTTCCTTTACAAGAAAGGTGTGCAGGAAGTGCAAAATTAGAACTTTGTGAATAAGAGATTCCAGCTGCAATCCTGCTTGCATATTTTGGGGTAGCTCCTATGGAATTTAATAGCACTTTCTTTTGCATAGACATGCACTGAGTTGCATTTTCAGTAGATTTGAGGCTATAGAAGGCCAATGCTTGCATTTTTAAAGGAAAGGCAACTTTAAGATTCCAAAAGTTAGGATATTGTTTATTCTAAACAAAAATCAAGTCATTTCCTACTTTCTTCAATCATTTGTATAGTGATTTTAGAAAGTTTCAAAGCATGATTATTGGTTCAGAAGATCTGACATCTCTTGTTTCTGCACTGAGGCATAGGATGGATGAGAACGGGATTACAATTTTGCAGTCGATGCCTGTCCCAGGACTCGATGAATGTAATTGATTTGTGATTGTGATCTTCCAGATGTTTTGAACTCTATATAATCAAATCAAACTGCTAATCACATCATAATCCCTCACTGTTGGCTATAATTACTAGAACTGATGTTACAAGTCCTAAACCTACTGGGGAGTGAGACTCATTGAACTTTTTCAAACTTTCTTTTGATTGGGCTGGTAATGCAACACAGTCATTCGTTTTCATGATTGCTATTGCTAGGAAGTGCTACATAGCTTAGATGCTCGTACTTCACTATGATTTTGAGAGTTATGTGCTAGCTTCTGTTCCCATTCATTTACTTGGCTGCTGCTGGGATCATGAAAGAATCCTGGTTCTTTCAAGGGAAACATTTCTGTTGTTAGAACACTGGAGACATTTGTGCTTAGATATCTGAAATGTGTCTCCTTCTCTCTTCATGAAAAAAGGATGGCACTTAAAATATTGTTTCTTGCCACATCTGCCATAATCATGCATGCAAAATACCTTGTTTGCACAAGGTTCTTAATAGAGCTTTAAGTTTTAGCCTGTGATCCTAAATATACTTACCGGGAAGCATACGCTTACTAGAGCTTGCATCTGTGGAAACATGCATAGGGTTGTGGTGCAGCTTGTATTACTGTCACTGAAAGCATTCTAGGACAAGAAAGAACTTAGGGTTCTGAGTTGCTGGATGAGTAGTGCTTCTATAGCAAGGCTGGGGAATTGATGCTTATCACCATTCAACTGCTTAAGATATAGTACCTAAATAGAGTTGCTGGAATGTCTACAAACTTTACAGGATCTGTGGCTGAAAATGTTGCGCAAGAAAGTGGATAATCGCATTCGGATACTGATTGAGAATGGAGTGGCTGAGCGGCATAGGACACTCGTCGTTGTAGTGGGGGATCATGGCAAAGATCAGGTGAGGTGTAATTCATGACTCTTTGGTTTGTTTGTTTGTTTTTTTGCTAATATATAATAGCCTTTCTTTTCTTTCAAGAGATGGGGATCTGTCAGTTCATGTCTTTGAGTAATTTTGCTTTGGGAAACTCCCAAGCACAAAGTGTTGTTTTATCTTTCTTTTTTCTTCACATCTGATGCTCTGCCTTGTGAAGCAAGGGAAGATTCTGTGTCAGTGTTCCCCAACCTGGTATTCCCCAGGTGTATTGGAATGTAACTCCTAGCATCCCATCTGGCTCCCAGAATTTCCCATGCTGGCTGGGGAATGCTGATAATTGTAGTCTAGCAATTCTGTACTACACCAGTTTTGAGAGAGACTGAGCACCAGTCTGTGTGAAAGCTGTTTCCAATATAGAACATCTGACATAGCAAAAGCAAAATTCTAGCTTGGGAACCTTTTTCAGTTAGATCCCCCAGGGTGCTACTTGCCTTCCTACATCACTAAAAATGGTTTTTTTTACCATCACTTGACAGGTGGTCATACTCCATCATATGTTGTCCAAAGCAACTGTAAAGGCTCGTCCATCAGTATTATGGTGCTATAAGAAAGAGCTGGGCTTTAGCAGGTAAATATGTTTGCATGTCCTTTTTTTCTTTAGTTTTCCTTTAATTTGGTCTCATAAATGTGTGAGCAGGCTACAAATTAGATGCAGAAGTTGTTAGATTTTTTTCTAGTATTTGTAAGTAAGTATTTTGTGGCAGGGGATGGGAGTTACTTGTATTCTTGGACCAGGCCTGGGAACAGTTTTGATACTTACTCTGCTCTTTCTGGCTAGGCCAGATATATCTCTTTTCTGTTCTGTGGTGGCTGGGGCATGCAGGTAGGTGTAGGATTTTTTTCTGTCAAGATATGCATAGGATTCCACCTTGGATTCTATCTTGTTTGCTTAGTAATATCAATACTTAATTCCCCTTTGCTGTCTTATGCATTCATCTCCTCCATGAAACCTTTTCTCAAGTCTGTTCTTTCCATTAAGCAATTGTTTTTTCAATCTTCATACACAGTCAGCAAAGAAGTCCAAATTATCTTCCCATCAGTTCCCAGTCACAAAATTAGAATCAGGTTGATGAGATGTCAGTGCTGATCATAATCATAAGGGTAGCAAACCTATGCTTACTTACCTAGGAGAAGACGATGTAACTTATTTCTGAATCAACATGCATGTGACCGCACTGTAAGTTTCATGATTTTCCATTGGGGCTGTCTAATTTGTCCTCCTCTCCTCCCTGCAGTCACCGTAAGAAAAGAATGAGACAGTTGCAGAAGAAGATTAAAACTGGAATGTTAGATCTGAAGCAAGATGACCCCTTTGAGTTGTTCATTGCCGCCACAAACATTCGTTACTGTTACTACAATGAAACTCACAAAATTCTTGGAAATACTTTTGGCATGTGTGTACTCCAGGTAGGAAGATACCTGCTTGTGTGTGTCTTTACTTAAAACATTTTATCACACTCCTCAACCAAAAAGGGTCTCTAGGTAGCTAATGCTCAGTAAGTAAAAACAGTCTCTGCCTACAGGTTTACAATCTAAAATACATGACACAGAAGCGAAAAAGGGACAAGATGGGGAGATGAAAAAAGCAAGTTCTTTTTCAGCAGGGATGGTGGAACAGCATAACCCTAACCCCCATCTTCTCTTCGTATGGCGGTGACAGTGGAGGGAGGAGTCTGATGAAGGTTACAGATTTAGGGCATCCATAAGAATGTTAAAAATAGGAAAGTCTCTTTGTGGAAGTCATTTGGGTGGGTTGTATACACTGTACATCAGCTTCATTTGAACTGCCAGCAATGTACTTGCAAAGATACGACAATGCTTGTGTTTACCCAACGTATATTTTTCTATATGGCATTTCTCTGTTGCATTACTAAAATCATCCATGTTGAAACTTCCATGACATATACAATCTGTTCAGAAGAACATATTAATGCAGTCTCCCTTTTTGTTTGAACCAGGGAACTATGGCCTTAAGCACTTACTAGGTTTGCACAATGCAGTAAGCCACCTACAAATGAGATGCACAGCATGTATTGTACATGGAAGGAGCCACAGTATGTCTGACAGATGGTCAGGCTCACTATGGCTCCTTCACCCTGAGTCCCCCAGCCAATCTCCCAGTGTCCTTTGCGGAAGAACTAGTATTGCCCTCCCTCTCTGCTCCAATTGTTACTTGTTTTTGTTTCAAAAATGCACAATTTAGCTTGTCTTTTTTCAGAAAATTGTACAGATAACTTCACATTTTTAAAGACTGGGTTTGTTACCAATCTTGCACAAGTGTGCTCTTAGAGCTCTTCCATATATTTAGTGTTGTTTAGTCAATTTCTTGAATATTTCCACTATCAAATGTTACCAAAGGATTAAGTAACATGGATTTTGACTCGGCAAGACTATATGTATGAGGTAGCCATAAGAATGCACCAGCCAAAGACAGTTAATAATACGGAATAATAATAAAATTATAGGCACATTTTCACAATTTTCTGTAATCAATTTTTTAACTTGGTCATCAGCAACATGGGCAAAATTATGAGCAGCTCACTAGCAGATCCCTAGAACCTGCAGTGAAATTGTTTTCCTGGGTTTGCCATCCTATCAACATCTAGAACTATCCATAGAGGGTGGTTTCTTGCTAGTTAGCCACAACGGATTGTCAAGTTGTATGAACTAGGTCAGCATCTTGAAATTGGTTTAAGGTTGTTCCAGTGCCAATAAGTATTGTTTTTTGATTCAGATAAAAAAGCGCAGAGGTGATTCAATAGGAACTCCAGCACTGGCACACACAGCACTCCGGTGTGCTGTGAAGGGAGGGGTGGGTGCAGCACGTGTGGGAAAAAGGTTGTTCCGAACTTATTTAGCTGAAATGTGCTCCTCTGAACCAGGCCTCAGTGTTGAAGATGACTGCATGTGACTAGTAGAAGTCCAGTTTAGATTGACCAGCTGTATATGTACAAGAACAACCAGGCTTGCCAATTAAGACAGATACAGCTGTCAATAAATATGTGCTAGTGGATTCAAAGAATCAGCGTTCTGTTTCCTCCTGAGTTAGCACTGAACTTTATATTCTCCCCTCTCCTGTAAAAACAACCAAGCAGGTTCTAAAGGTCCAAAAGTCTTTTCAGAAGAGCACGTCTGTGCACAGAATAACTGAGTTTTACAGTCATTGAGTAGTGAAACATTCATGCCTGCAGAACCCCAATTGTTTGAGGTTTCTGGTTCCATCTGGCATGCGGGTGAGGAATGTGTGGCCTTCCAGGAATTGTTGGGCTGCAGTTGCCATCGGCTCTAAGCAGCATAGCTAGAGGTGAGGGATGATAAGGATGGTGGCAATATCCGTAGGACCACAAGCAAAGCTAGTGGCGCTGCAGGCAGGCATGGGAAGGCACTCGCTGTCTTTTGCATTCTGGATGGTGCTGATGGTAGCACAGCCGTAGATGCATAGCTCCGCTGGGGCTGACGTGTTAATTGTCTGCATCATTTCCTCCAGGACTTTGAAGCCTTGACACCAAATCTTCTTGCTAGAACAGTGGAAACTGTGGAAGGTGGAGGCATTGTTGCAATTCTTTTGAGAACTATGAACTCCCTGAAGCAGCTCTACACCATGACCATGGTATGGCTACTCCGAAGCTTCTTCGTGTGTGTGCGATGGCAAGTTGGCTTTCCCTGGGAGGGGCTCCAAGCTCCGTGTTAGAGCACAAGTCCTGCATGCAAAATGTCCCGGGTTCAGTCTTTGGCATCTCTGGTCAGAAAAGGACAGGGTCGGAGGTGATGAGAAAGGCCTCTTACCTGAAATTCTGCCTGCCAGTCAGAGTAGGGCATACTAGATGGGCAAATAGTCTGACCTAGCATAAAGCAGCTTCCTCTACTCTGTTTTGGATGAACAATTGGACTAGGGGCTTGTGCCTACATGGATGCATTTCAGTACCGAACTACTGCTAATCAGTAGCTTGATGGAACCTAACAGCTTCAGGCATCCTTTTCAGTCTTGGACTCTGTCTGCAGTGTCCAGACTTGGCTGTGCAATGTGTTTATCTAGTGCCTTCCTTAGCTACCTTTCCAAGACTGCAGTCTTCCCCCATTGGCTTAGCATATCTCCATGGGAAGAGTGGCTGAAATAAACCAGAGTCCAGCCATATGCAGAATGCCTTCTGTGCCTGCTGGAGTTACCAGGACTATTCTTCGGTATTGGTGGTGGTTTGGGTTCGAACAGGGTGTCTCTGCATATAGCAGCCATGAAGCAGGCAGTCCTTCTGCATGAAGACAGATTGATGCAAATAGCTTTGCCAGTCGTGCAGGCGCCTTGCCAGAAAAATTAGTTGACTAACAGGCATCAGCCAGTCAGTCAGTCCCCCTGCAGGATTCCAGGCAAAGTTGTACCTATGTACCAAAAGCATCTGCAAACTACTCTAGCCTCCTGTGTGAGGAAGGTAGCAATGGGTGCTTGGGGAAACCGGTTGTTTACAGTAGGGTTGCCAGATGTTTCTTAGCTCTGAGGGCCAAATTCTGTTTCTGAGAAGCATTTGGAGCTGTATTCCAGGAGTGGGTGAGGCCAAAGGGTATGACCCAAATAACAAGTCCCCACAAACACCCAACATAATGTAGTTTTCAGCTCTCACTGCCAGTATCCCAGCTGCAAGGAGAGGCCCGGCCCGGTGCAATTGGCCGTGTCAAGCAAAGCAGCAGTCCTGTCTCTGCCACCCAGCTGCTCACTTGGCCAGCCGGCTAGGGGCCACACAAGCCATGCCTGCCCACTCATTCTTTCCTCAGAACTGACCCTTTGTAGCAGCTCTGTGCTTTGGGGCACAGAGAAAAGCAGCCAGCTGGACTGACTGGCCGAGCGAACAGGAGCAGACCTGGAGGTGGCTCAGGCAAGGAGGAGGACGTGGCTCTTTTGCAGCAGCTGGGAATGCAGGTTTCTCCCAGCGGCTCTTTTGCTGCAGCCAGCGCCGTGCAGTCGCTCTGGACGACATCTACTGGGTGTGGCAGTGAGCCAGCGACTGGCCTTCCTGGCAGGGAGCAAGGCAGGAAGGTGCAGTGCACTCTTCCCATTCCACTTCCCGCTGTGGGTGCATCAACTTGTGTACCAGCAGGGCTGGCTGTGACCCGCAGAAAAGCCAAAAACCCCCCAAACAGTTGGCTGGCAAGGCGAAGGCCTTCTGTCCTCTCCCAGTGGGCCATAGTTCATTGCTCAGCCTGCGCTTCTGCACTCTTGAACATGTGCATGAAAACACAAGGCAGTAAAACAAAATGAGAAGTAGGCATTATTACTCCAGTTCAGCCTCTCTAAATCTGGTTCTTTCCAAGACTCTGAGTCATCAACTCCCACCAGTCCCAGCCAGCACAGCCAGTGGTTGGGGATAATTGGAGTTGTGTGGCATAACTTCTGAAGGGTATTAGATTGGAGAGAGGCTTCCCTGGAGTAGAAAAATAATGGGAATGAGAAGAGAAGCAAAAATCGGGGTGAAATGTAGGGTTTGGAAGGCAGTCAAGCCAGCATAGGAGCCGTGCGAATCTTGGCAGCTCTGACTCTGCCATTAGCTTCAAGAAAACCCTTTGGGATTCACCAGACTTACTCTTCCTTTTCCAGGACGTGCACTCTCGCTACCGGACTGAGGCACATCAGGATGTGGTGGGACGATTTAATGAACGGTGGGTCATGCAGTTTGCAATGGTTTTGAACACGCAAACTAGCAAGGGTGCTTGTTCATGGAAAATGTGTCTGTCTGCCTAGCAGAATGATCTGTTTTTTGAGCCTTCTGGTCAGAGTAGCAATTCCATATTGGCCACAATGCTCTCTGTATTGAAGAATTTAGGTGTAATGCTGGTCATATAGGTGACAATACTTAGCAGCTCAGGTGCTGCTACACTTTCTCCCAGTGTGCCAGGTAAGCTGATAGGTACTCAGTACATTTTTGTAATGACTGTGTGAGATTCTGTCATGGCGCCCTGAAGTCCACTGGGGCACTGAGTATTCTGCAGCTTGCATGGCAGGATTGGATGGGGAAGCCGTTGCAGTGACACCAAAGGAAAGAGGGGTGAATTATATCTAGAAGTTAACATGTTCCATTTCGATGGCGATGGCACTACAGAGTCCTCTTATCTCACCGCACAGGTTCATTCTGTCTCTGGCCTCTTGCAAAACCTGCATGGTTGTTGATGATCAGCTTAACATCCTCCCAATCTCTAGCCATGTTGCAAACATTGTCGCTATCCCACCACGGTCACAGGTAAGCACGCTTTTGAGAAAAATAGAAGCTTCAAAATAAAATAAAGCCAGGACCATTTTCCCACAATAGATCTTTGTAATGGTAAATTTGTTATAGGGTAGGCTGTAAATATGGTAAGTAGAACTGGGACAGACAAACTTCCCAAGGACAGTGTCCAGTCTTCTGATTAATGATGGCAGCTGCTTTTTGATTTAGAAAACTCTTCTTTTGCTTATAGGAGGACAGCCTGAGTCCTCAGGATATGGAGCTGAAGGACCTAAAGGAAAGCCTCCAGGATACCCAGCCTGTAGGAGTGTTGGTTGATCGCTGTAAAACCCTGGATCAGGTTAGTATTCCTCTCAGCCTGGAATGAGATGGACATGGAGAGCCAGTGTGGCATCTTTGGCATGGCTAACAGTTCTGGACTGGAATGCAGAGGTCAGTCTGGGTTCTAGTCCCCGCTCAGCCAGAAGTTCAACTTTGGGCCAGTCACGGGACTCTCAGCCTAACCTACCCCACACGGAAGCTGGTTGTTGTTGGGAGGATAAATGGAGAAGAGGAGAACCTTGTAAGCTCTCTAGGGCTCCTTGCAAGAGGAAGAAAGGCAGGTTATAAATATAATTATATCTTAATAATTACAGTGTAGTGTAATAGTAAGGTGATGTGGTTGGATGAGCCCTGTGTCACCAGGCATTAGGCTTGTGGATGCCTTGAGCTGGTGAGGAGATGCTGTGTATGAAGGGAAGCAAAGCATCAGTAGCCCTTGGAGATTTTCCTTCTCCCCCAGCATGTAAGCTTTCAGGTATGGAAGTGGGGCCTACTAGAACAGGTCAGCCCCAAAATAAATGTGCATCGCTCCTTTTGGCTTCGTTCTCCTTCCTCCTTTATTTCTATTTTGATTACATTCTTTGTATTCCTTCGCGCCCTTGTGGCCTTGTTCAGCCAAAATAATTGCTTCTGACTGCTTGTTTTGTCACTGCTAGGCAAAAGCTGTTTTGAAATTCATTGAAGCAATTTCTGAGAAGACGCTAAGAAGCACCGTGGCTTTAACTGCGGCCAGAGGACGTGGCAAATCAGCCGCCTTGGGACTGGCCATAGCTGGGGCAGTGGCTTTTGGGCAAGTTACTCCTAGAGATTCTAAAATCTATTTCGTGTGGAAGTTTAGTTTTGTTTTGTTTTGTTGTGTTGTGTTGTGTTTAAATTCAGACAGAAAGGTAACATAGAACTGAAATCTTCAAATAAGCCTGAGAAGAATTTATTGAGTGCTAGTGAAAAACACTGAGGTGAACTTATGCTTGTTATCTTAGGCTGAGTGAGTTGTGAGTCAAATGCAGAGAGCTGACTGTTAGCCGTCAGTGCGGAAATCTAAGAGTGCAGGCAATCCAATGCACTTTTACAGACAGAAAAAAATCCTACAGGTCCTAGCATTCTTCAGCTGGCTCCTGATAACCACTTCCTCCTATTCTGAGAAGGAAATAATCACATGCAGAATCCTGAAGGAAAGGTCGAATAGTGCTTTGGGCATGAGTTTTTTAAAATTATTTTTGTTGTGGCTTGTGGAATTTTTTAAAAAATTGACTGTATAATTTCTGATTTTTCAGCCTTAACTAGGTCAGCAGATGAAAAAGACCTCATTACCCTGCTCAGTATTACTTCTGTACCTTAACCTCTCAAGGGCAGTGGCATATGACTTGAATGTGATTACCTGAGCAGATATTTGGAAAGCGAGATGTCCCATATTCAAGCCATGTGCCCCCCTTCAGCCAGCCCCATGATAGAGATCTTTGTTCAGGTGAGGCTAGGTCAAGCTGAAATCAGAACCATATTGAATCCAGAAGCTGCCAACCAAAAATAATACAAAGTATTTAATATTTGCAACTTGCCCTTCATGGAAGCTCCAGCTGACATTTTGTCTACTTCTTAAGTCTGGACTTAATTGAAAGTACTACTGACAGTTTCAAAAGTCCTTATAAAATGGTGAAGATAACATAGGATTCATTTTGTAACTGTGAGCCTTAAAAATAAGTTGGCATGTGAGCACCTGGAATTGCCTTTCCATTAGAGGCATTTCATAGAAGCACTTGGGCCAAAATACACATTACATGAATTGTATTGCGCATAAGTGAGCCTAATAGTTTTATTTACTTTAGTGTAACTGCATGCAGCTCTGATTCAGAGCAGCAAGCACCATGGGGAGGCGAAGGAATTTAACAGCATCCTCCCTATTAGCCCCCTGAAATTATGCCCCCCCCCCGTGTCTGGGGAGGGCGGTTAAAAGAGGAATTGTGTCTACCTTTTCAAGAGATAAAAAAATGGTATAGTCTATATCTTATCCTCCCCTTCTTGCTTCTTTGTAGGTACTCCAACATTTTTGTCACCTCTCCCAGTCCAGATAACCTTCAAACTCTCTTTGAATTTATATTCAAAGGCTTCGATGCGCTACAGTATCAGGTAACATGAACAGATATTCGATGGTTCCACAGAACCTGCTTGCATGAGAGGAGCACAGTTCATGGCTCCTTTTTGGAGCATTTTCTGCTGCAGTTCCCTGGCAGTTCTTTGAAAACAAACAAACAAAATCCAAGAAACCCACTGAATGAATGGGAACCTATGGCTGAGGCAGGTGTAAGTACTGGCACCCCATTTGCTGTGTCCCATTCTGCAGTGTAAAGGTTTTTAAAAGCAGCTCTTGAGAATTATGGTTCAATTTATTGGACTGGGAAATTTACACAAATGTAACAGCGGGGGAAGAACACGAGGGAAATTGGTGCACCGTAGGAATGGAGCAGCTCTTATGTGATGCTGACAAATTACAGGGAAGATGCATCTGTAATGGGCAGATGAAATTCTGCTGTCCCACCAAGCAAGGTTCTACAAAGACAGTAGTTATAATTGCTGTCAAAAAGAGAAGAGTCTTTGACTTAAAATGTCTTAATGTGCTGAGTAGTGTATGATTTGGTTCTCATAATGCTTCTTATGTTCATTGTTTTCAGGAACACCTGGATTATGAGATTATTCAGTCTCTCAATCCAGAATTTAGCAAAGCAGTTGTCAGAGTGAATGTCTTCAAGGAGCACAGACAGACTATTCAGGTAGTTAATCTTAGACTCAACCCTAACCCCAGTGTGCCATACAAAGCTTAATACTAAGACAGCCTTTTCCCTCAGGCTTGCACTCTAAAAGACATAGCACAAAAGGAAAAGAAGTTGGGAGGGATGACGAAAAAAGGAAAACTCGGGCATTACTTAATTTTAGAGTTCCTATAGGCATTGTTCTGGCAGGCAAGGTGAGAGAACTTTCCTGCAGATGTTCCTTCCCTGGCCAGTGTTTGGGGCTCAGTTAGTCATCCCCTTGCTGTGCTATTCTTCCTGGGAGACCCAAGGTGCAGCCTCCTAGAGTCCCCCGGTTTTCTGTCTAACGGATGGCGAGGGGGTCTAAAGTCCCAGGAGATGGCCACTTGGAGCTTTCTGTTCCTTCTGGGAGGAAGGGTGGACCAAACTGCCACTGCCGTTACTCCCTCGTGGGAAGCTGAGGCTCAGTTCTAACTCCTGGCCACTCCAGCAGCACTCTTCAAGTGGCAGAAGGAGGGTTGCATGCATCTTCATCTTGCTTGTGCGTACAAGCCAAGATGTCTCAATTCCTGTTACGTGAGAACGTGACCAGTGGGACGTTGCTGGCCTGAGTGACAGAGACTTGGAATTACCCTTCCTTCTAAAACTACAAAGGCCCTTTAAATTCTGTTCCTGTAACTTCTGACCTTTGTAGTTGCCTATCCTTTCTTCAAAGCTCACTTGCCTTCAGATGAAACCAAGCTACCGTGAGCGAGGACAAGTGTGTATCTGTAGAGTGGTGTGTTTCGTTCTGGCGTGTGTGTAGCTCTCGGACAAGAGTGGTCATTGCCTGCGTTTAAACTCATGACTTTCCTCCTCTTTTGGCAAGTATATCCACCCTGCGGATGCCGTGAAACTGGGACAAGCGGAACTTGTGGTGATTGACGAGGCAGCTGCTATCCCCCTGCCCCTGGTCAAAAGCCTCCTGGGTCCTTACCTGGTCTTCATGGCTTCCACAATCAACGGGCAAGTGGTCCATTCTGGTCGGACATATGACCTGAAGCTACTGTAGAAATGTTTGTGATGAGGAGGAAAAGCATTTGGTTTGCCTGATTCAGCCAAGACATATGCAATACTTGCTCTGCTTATACAACACCTGGAGATTTTCTGCAGCATCCCTTGAAATGTATTGTGCTGGATTCACCATATCCGGCAATAGAACAATTCTGTCTACGGGGACTGAGCTGTCAGGGCTCATTCACACATGTAGCAAGTACCAAGGTAACAATGTATAAGGGTTGGAGTTTTGAGTATCTATTAGAGTTGGCATTTAACCGCCACCCCCTGCCAGCTATACACCACTGAGCAAATGGCATGAAATAAAACATTTGGCATCTGACAGCATAAGGGAACAATACCAGGAGAAGGTGGTTAGGTCAAAATTGTTGTCACCTTGTGCTTGTCTTCTGCTCAGCTGAATCTCTTAATTTAGCCTCCTGGGACTCTCACTTCAGAACACAGATGAGTTGACCTTCTGGAGCACTGCTGCAGAATAATCTACCTACACAAGAAAGGTAGAACGTCAGGGAGACATTTTCTGGCCTAGCTTTCCCTGGTGTATTCATGTTAGTCTCAACTCTTTCTTAGGGAGAGAAGAATTGGAAGATAATATGCATAAATAAGATAGTTCTGTACATTTCATAAATTTGCCATAGTTAACGTTTTAGAAATAAAATTTTCTAAGAAACGTTTTACATTTTTAAAACAAGTTTAAGTTTGTCAGTATTACATATAAGGATTACCTAGATTTGAGTTCTCTTCCCTGCCAAACACAAATACACAATTTCTTCCCTTCTGCCTGCAAAACAGAAACAAAAAACTTCTAGAAATGGCTTTAAAACTCTACAAATCTAGAAAATTAGGCCTTAAGTTCTGCTTAAAGTTAAACACAAGGTAATTTGTTAATTCCTGTCTCTGTTCCTATTTGACTATTGTTTTTAATAGATATGAGGGCACAGGTCGTTCCTTATCATTGAAGCTGATTCAGCAGTTACGGCAACAGAGCGCCCAGGCCCAAGCCAGTGTGACAGCAGAGAACAAAATGACAACGACAACTAAACTGTCCTCAGGTATTTTCCCCTTGCAGCCTGAGCATTTTTCAGCAGAAAATGTGAAAGAACATGCACACACCTCAGGAGAACTGAAAGAAATTAGCATTGTGCTTGCTTGCTTGCTTGCTTGCTTGGTTGCTTGCTTATTTATTTGTGGTGCTTGTGAGCTTCCCTACAGTCCAAGGGCTCTCTGGGAAGCTCACAAAATAGCAATGGCATCAAGAATAAAACCAGTAAGTTTAAAAATTATAATCCAGACATCAGAAAAATGAATAGTTACAATGGGATCAGGAGGCAAATGCACATACGAAGAAAAGCAAGCAGTGAAAAAGACATAATAAAATCATAAAGTATATAAAAACAAGTATGAAATAAAAATGTCTTCACCTGGCTACGAAAACTGAGCAATGAAGGTGCCAGTTGTGCCTCCTAAGAAAGCCATTCCAGAGACAAGGCACTTATCTCAAGTCACCCTTTCTGTTCGATGTTTTTCAGGTAAAGGTGGAGTGCCGAAACCAAGGCAACCCAGTATGGGCTCTTGAGTTTTCATAGCTTTTGCTAGTTTCCTTTGATATTTTGTGGGCTTGTTTATCTTCAAGCAACAGACAAGAGGGAAGGCTGTAGACATTAATGGCAATCTGGGTCGCAGTCTTGGACCCTGTGCTAGGAAAACGCTGGCAGTGCCTTCAGCACTAGTATTACGGTGCACTGCTGGCAAGCCTATGGAAGTCGAGTATGAACATGTGCCCTTTAAGATCATTCGAGAATAGAGTGGTTAATTCTTTGGTCAGCCAGCTAATGGTTTTGTTTGTCCCAGAACTGAAGTAAACTTTCCTTCTCCTTTTTTCCTGAAAGATACAATTTGACCATAAATTTAGGTCTTTCATGCGTGATCTTTTCTGTGTTGACTTCCAGCCCGCACACTGCATGAAGTTTCCCTCCAAGAATCCATTAGATATGCCCCTGGAGATCCTGTGGAAAAGTGGTTGAATGACTTGCTCTGCTTGGAATGTCTCAATATCTCAAGAATTTTATCTGGCTGCCCGTTGCCCGAAACTTGCGACTTGTATCCTTGTGACTGGAACCAGTGCTTAGGCGATGGGCAGCTTGTAGCAGCTACACACGGGAAGGCATGTAGGGATTCCTTTGGCATAGTTTTTCCCAGCTTCTGTGCAACCAGTTCACATGAGCACATGCTATGTAGACTTCATGGTACGACAGAAGGCAGAGATTTGGTAGAATATGCAGCAGAATAGGCTAGGATTCAGCTTCCATATTCTGGAGTAGTTTTTAGACTGTAGGTGTAAGATTGAATTTTAATGCTTTGCAATTAGAAAGCTAGCACATCAGGCAGCATGCTGACCTAGGACTGTATGTTTTGATGTTAATTTCTTACTAAAAGCTTATTTTTAAACATGGAGTAGGATTCAAAAAAGTCTGAAGGTGCCGTCCATTCTACCACTTGGCTTATTTTATTTTATTTATTTATTAAAACATTTCTATGCCACCCCATTCGCCGAAGCCTCGGCGCGGCTCACAACAGCTTGGTGCATGTGTAGACCATTAGAAGAAGCATGAGGGCTAGATTATTTTATTTCTGTGTCTAGTAGTTAAGAGGGATGGTGGCTGCTTTTTTAAGAATTGTTTTTATCCTAGAGTATATTCAGGGTCTTAAAAGTTCTGGATCATAAAAGCCCCTCAGGCTAGTGTCCTGAACAGGAATTTATTTATTTATTATTTATTAAAACATTTTTATGGAATGAGGCCCCTGCAATATTAAAACAATGGTGGGGAAGGTTTCGCACAAGACCCAGATTCAAAGTGATGCCTGTTTTGGCCCTGTGTGCTTGACTGAAGAGGATCACATAAATCTATTTTAGTAGTAGTGAGAAAGCAAGACTCACTGGAGAAGACAAATCTTATTAGAGAAAGCCAAAGGCAGAAGTTGGAAGTGGAGACCAAATATGAGATGGCTTGGATCCATAAAGGAAGCCATACCCTTGAACTTCGAAGAGTTGAACAGATCTGTCTAAGACAGGGCATTTTTGAAGGGTTTTTATTCATGAGGTCCTGCTAAGTTGGAGACAACAGCACATAACAGAGCAGTGAATGTACCGTGTTTGTGGCTTTTATCCCTTAACCCGTGGCACTTAGATACTATGTGAACAGAGACACCCTGTTCTGTTATCATAGAGCATCAGAAGCTTTTCTTCAGAGGCTCATGGCTCTGTATGTGGCTTCTCATTACAAGGTTGGTGGAATTGTTTTCTGTTGCCAGCCTTCTGCTGAGATTTTGCACAGAGGGGGGGATCTCTTCTATCCTTCCTCTTGGGCTCTAGCTCAGTTAAAATTGTATGCAAGTGCTTTTTTTTGTTTACTTGCATCCTTTACATAGCAGAGGTTCTTCCCTAACCCCTGTCCCATTCCTTCTCCCAGGCTGCTCTCTTCTTGCCTGTTCCCTCAGTGATTACATCATTTAAATGGTCAGAAATCCTTGGTGCATGCAATATAGTGATTTAAGGAATATTCACAGGAAGCAGATAACTGCTTTGTTTCTTCCATGCAGCACAGAAAAGAACATGATCCAGCCAGTTCAGACACCATGAAATACGCTTGCTGGCATTTGAGTGGATGCACGCTAAATCTAATGTTAAATTTAATTCTGAAAATAATGTTGGTGCATACAGGCCGGTCTTTGCAAACTTGATGCTCTCCAGCTTGATGTGTTGGGCTACAAAGCCCAGAATCCAGTAGGCCTTTGCCTCTGGAAGGCACTAAGTGAGGAATGTGATTTAGCCACCACGAGGCAAGGATTATAGAAAAGTCATAATTTGATCAGGGAAGAGTGACGCTTTTGTAACCCAGAAGCACTGATTCCTGCTGGCAGCTCTGCCCTTTTACTGCCTGCACGCTGCTACGTCCTTTGTTTCCTTGAGCCTGTAATGCCAAAAATTAAAGAAATAAAACCTCAAATTCTCTAACATTAAAAACTGTTCTAGCCTTGCTTGGGATTTTGGCCAAGATGACCTGTGGGCTTTATGCACATGGAGATAAATATTTGAGAGCTTTGTTAAATACTTAACAGAGAGCATTATAATAAAATACAGCATTATGAGAAAAGGAAAGCCTGGCCACTGTGCTGACAGTTTGATGGGAGAGAAAATCCAGTACTGTGCGCACTGTTGTAACTACCCCAAGTTGTCCGCTGTTATTAAAAATCTCTTCAGTGCTAATAACCTTCATTACTTTGAAGAGTCTGTTCTTTGTTTGAAAGGGAAGAGGTATAATACAGATTATATATTTAAACATGTATATACCATCTTACCTGCTTAGAGGTGGCTGATAAATCAGAAGTAATGTCACCCTACTTGCTGGCCAGGTCATAGAATAACAAACTCTGTGTGTGCGTGTGGTTGAGCGCTCATGCTGTGCCCTGATTGTGGCCTTCCAGAACTCTCCCAATGACCTCCAGATGCTTTCAGATGCTCCGGCACATCACCTGTTTTGCCTTCTGCCACCAGTTCAGCCTACCCAGAATTCCTTGCCGGAAGTGCTTGCTGTTGTTCAGGTAAAAGGGGGCAGAAAGTCTTCTGTGCTCTTTAAATAACCCTAATAAATTTGCCCAGAAAGGAAGTGACAGAAATTTTTATCAGGTAGTGTGTCAGAAACCTTTACTGGAGAAGTTTAATCATTTTAACATTAGCCTTTGGGGAAATTAGTTATCTGATGGGGTCTGTTCAGTTGCAGCATTTGGGAGGCACCTAATGCTGCTTCATAGGTATCACAGAAGAACGGTTCATGTGGATTCGCCGCCATGTTTTACATAGCTTTGGTGAAATATTTGACAGGATCCAGCTCTGCCCTTCAAGCAGCTTCTTTCAGTCGGGGGCGGGGTTATGTTATAGTTCTGCTTTCTGAGAGAAGATTAAGAGTTCAGACCAGCTGCATTCTCTAGACGTGCAGCATCACTACTTCAGATGAGGCATTTTTGATAAGTGGTTCTAGTCTCTGGAGTGCTGTGCCACAATCCGCCACTGAAGTGTTGAGCGTCATTTCCCCTTTATTCTCTTTCTCATTCTGCAGGTGTGTTTGGAGGGCGAGATCTCCCGCCAGTCAATTATGAACAGTCTCTCTAGAGGGAAAAAAGCCTCAGGGGACCTCATCCCATGGAGCATTTCAGAGCAGGTAAAGGGCCAACTTCTTACCTGCAACTGAGGTGTTTTCTGGTTCTGCCCTTTTTACATTATGACTGCTCTTTCAGTTCAGTTAATGCCTGTTTCTCCCTTGTTTTTTCTTTGCTTTTGCTTACAGTTCCAAGACCCTGATTTTGGCAGTCTCTCCGGAGGGAGAATTGTACGAATTGCAGTCCATCCCGATTATCAAGGGGTAATGCGTTTTGGCCTACTGCTTCAACACTGCAGTAACTTGCCATCTCAGAGAGAATGGGAGTCTTGGTCAGGGTAACTACAAGGGGTCAAGATGCTCTGTACTTCCTGTAGAGAAGCAGGGCTGCAAGAGAGTGGCTCGGGGCGGGTGTCCTTTCTCCGACAGCTCACTGTGTTCAGAGGTGGGGTGCAGCTTTCAGTCCATCTGTACCAGTCCACTCATTTGCCTGGATGCAGCTCCTTGTTTAACTCACTGCAGAAGACCCTGATGCTGGGAGCGATTGACGGCAAAAGGAGAAGGGGACGGCAGAGGGTGAGGTTGCTAGGTGGAGTCACTGCGGCAGTGGGTGTGGGTTTGGGTGGACTCCGAGGGATGGTGGAGGACAGGAAGGCCTGGAGGAATGTTGTGCATGGGCTCTTGATAGGTCGGGCACGACTTCGCAACTAACTGCATTGACAACAAAGCTCCTTGTTTCCTTTAGCTATTGAGCATGCTTAAACGAAAGGCTAGGTAGCTAATGTATGGCTGGGAGCGCTGAGGCCTACAGTCATCGAATACCCCACAAGAAGACTTACAAAAAGCATGGCTGAATGGTCTTTCCCTGTCTCAAAGGCCCTGGTTGTGCCAAAGCAGCCTCCTTTAGCCAACAGCTTCACTGAAGGCCTGCTAGGTTGTGTCCTGGGGCTACCACTGTGGTTCCAAGTGGAACCTGTGTCCTGCGTGTAATTTATTACATTATGCCATTGTCTGTGGTTGCAAAGTGACACTGAATGGTTTCTTTAAAGCAGGCAAAATGCCAGGGTCTTTTTTTTTGCCTAATGTGCATTCTTTTTCATCATTTTCCTCCACAGATGGGCTATGGCAGCCGAGCTCTTCGTTTGCTGCAGATGTACTACGAAGGCAAGTTTCCTTGCCTAGAAGAAAAGGTCACTCCAAAACCAAAAGGAATTGCTACCGTGAGCAGCGAGGTACAAAGTTTGCTGTGCAGTGAAATATCACAGCCGGATCGGACTTTACCAGAGTCCTGTAAAGCATCCTTAACCACCCGTCAGCCCTCTGTCTCTTGTTGTTTTAGGCTGTCAGTTTATTGGAAGAAGCTGTGATGCCTCGGAAGGACTTGCCGCCTCTGCTGCTCAAACTGAGCGAGAGACAGGCTGAGAGTCTGGACTACCTTGGTGTTTCCTACGGCTTGACACCACGGCTGCTCAAGTAGGCAGATGGCTAGATGCAGTTGGGGATGTGTGAGGAATCCATTTTAGGGGTGGGAACCAGTTTCCCTGTGCTGGACTCCCTCAGGCAATGGCCTGCTTTGCTGTGGCCGTAAGTCGGACTTCTTGGCAGGAGAGCTCAGATTTTGTGCTGCAGTTGGCAGGAACTGAGCCACGTGCAAGTGAGATCCCTCTCCCATGTCATGTGCAGCAGCCTTTGTTGATGCTGCACGTGACGTGGAAGATCACTTCGCAACTGCTGTGCATGCAGCCTTCATTCTGTAAACATGTGCAGGCTTTCACTTGGCTCAGTTTGCGTTCTAAGACAAGGCCAAGCACAAGAGGAGGTCTGTGGATGCTGGAGGGATGGATTCCGTGAGGCTTTGTTGCAACCCTAGCTGCATTTGTCCGGGATACTTCTTATTGCAGGTGTGGCAGAAGGTGGATCTGCAGAGGTTTGGGACTTCATGGTCCTGCCTGCCTGGCCAGTGGTCAGGAGCACTGGAATCACAGTCCATGGCATCTGGAGATCTGAAGTGGTGCATTTTTCAGAACAATGACCCTCTTGGTGGTTCATCCCAGAGGATGTGTCTAACTGTGTCATCCTGCTAATAGAAGCGGTTCTGTCAGTGCAACTGAGCAGTGTGCCATTTCCCCCTCCCTCCGTGCATCCACCAGCTCACCCTCTGCTCGATATTTTGGGTGATACAGAGGGCTTCAGGGAGAAAAAGAGAAAAGTCCCATCACAGTAGCAGACTTCTGCTAATGTGTCACTGGATTTAATCGCAAATGTCTGTCTGCTTTTTATTTTAAAGACATATAACCAGTTGTCTCTTGGCAGATGATAAATATGTTTTTATTGTTTCTCTCCTACCAGATTTTGGAAAAAAGGTGGATTCGTTCCAGTTTATCTCAGGCAGACTCCTGTAAGTCTCAGATCGTGGTCAGAGATCCCAGCAGTGCTTCTGTTGGTGGAGCTCCCATTGACTTTGTTTAAATTGCATAGAATGTGTAGCATTTTATCAGGGTTTATTAGGCTGCTTATGATTTAGTGGAAATTTTTTTGGTAGAGGGTGGTAGAAAACAGGAGGAATGAATAAACCCATGTGCATTGTAATGTCATTTGTCCATACACCTTTACTGTGTTTTCAGTATTCCTACTTCCTATGTTATTCTCCAAACACACCCTCAAAAAAACCTCCCTTTTAAGCCTCTCCATTTATCCAAGTTTTAAAAGATACAGATGTAATTTTATCCTAAGGGAGTCTGGTTCGGTCCCTCTGCATTTTATTTGCTTCCCAGCAGGGGCAACAACGGCTCTCCAGTCTTCATATGAGCTTCAGAACAGAAACAACCCACATTGGAAATGTAGCTCCGTAATGAAAGCAATCTGACGAGAGCCTTTCCACAGATGTCAGTGGAACTGGGAGAGTGCTTGACCTGCAGCTTATGGTTTAAGACTTCTGAGAAATGGCATTAATCTGCATGTTGGCTTGGCATTCCTTTTTAAACATTGGCTCTTCTTCCTTTCCAGTCACTATGAATTAATGACACCTAATTGATGACTGACAGAACAATGTTATGCTTGCACAAAAAAGATGGCAGAGATATTTGGGGCACAATTCAATGCTTGCACACTACTTCCTATCTACTGTACTATAAAAACTATACGTCCTATCATAAAGGCTAGCAGATCATGTTCAGGGGTGCTGGTTAGCTAATAAGCTATAGAAGCTATCATTAATTAATCAGTAAGGGCAAATTTTGTTTGTAGGGTTGCAAAGTATGGATGTGCTTGTTATTGTTTTCTGAGGTTATTTTGGTTCTGACATGACCCTTTAAGAGGTAATAACAAAAGATTGCTGTATAAATTTAGTAGCTTTTGATTATTAAAATGTGGATTATCTTTGAAAGGGCTTGGGAATGTGCAGGTTTAAAACTGAAAGGGCTTGGGAATGTGCAGGTTTGAAAAAAAAAATTAACCAACCAATCAGCTAAGCATTTAAGTAATTAACTGCAGGAACTATAAATCCAATAAGTATCAGTGTCTTACCTAGTGAGGCATGTGTTGCCATAAATCAGGTGGTCTGTTTTTAAAATTGATCGCTTCAGTGGGGGGGGGGTGACAGGTTGTTTTTTGCAGTTGACCAACTTGACTAGTGCATTCGTGGTTTGACTAGTGATTTGACTAGATGATTTCTAAAAGTCAGGTTTGCAAAAGGTACTGGTAATTATTGCTAGAGCTCACCAAGATTCATAATTTTTTAGCCCAGCATTCCAGCTTTGGCCCCTTTGCAATGCCCATTGACAGTCTACAGAGAGCAACGTGACCCTGCTGTTTCCCCGCAGCTTGGTTGCGCCTCGTTGTAGGGGGCAGCTGTTGGAAGTGGCTCAAGCGGGGGGCGGGGAGCCTCTAATGGACTTGTTGTTGCAGTTGAACTGGGTGTGGGGGAGACAGATCTGCTTGAGTAGCTGGGTATGGGAACAGTGGTGGGGCAAAAGAGACCTGCTGGGGTCAGAGTTGGATCTGATCAGAAACACAGCATGGAATGAAATGGGCTTGTGATTTGGTTCAGAAATAGTCACATTCCTTTTAAGGGAAACAGCTTGGCTAGCTGAATGCAGTTATGAGTCGAGCGTCAGGGGGCTGGTCCTCCCCTTCTTCCTTCCTCTTGCGACTGCCTCCTTTGAGAACATTCCCTGAGAGAAGCAATTGCTTATTGCCGAGGATGTAGTGCTGCTCATGGAATGGTGCACCAATGACCACTGCCTTTATTTCTAGAATGATCTGACCGGGGAGCACTCGTGCATCATGCTGAAAGTACTGAATGAAGAGGAAGACAGTGAGCAAGAGAACTGGCTCACCGCCTTCTGGAAAGGTGACTAGGTTAGGGCATTTCAGAACTGGTTCGAGCAGCTGTTTTTAAGCTGGAGAAGTCCTCGCATGGTAACTTTGCCACTTCAGTCCCACCTCAGGAATCATACATCTGAAGTCACTCTTGCATGGAAAGGTAGCCATCAGCTTCACATATTTGATGACTCAGTTTCATGTGGAATGCAGGAGGCCCAGTCTCCTTAAAATTTGGTCCCACTTTAAAGTTGCTGGCTTTATTGGCCTTTAGAATGATCAGGGGTTGCAAGGATCTTTTAAGCAGTAACAGTGTTTTCCATTTCTCCTACAGATTTCAGGAGGAGATTCCTGTCTCTCTTGAGCTATCAGTTCAGCACTTTCTCACCTTCATTAGCTTTGAACATTTTGCAAAACAGGAATATCAAGAAACAGTCACAACCCTGTAAGTATGTCTTCAGCCTCCTTGAATTGATTATTTGTGAAACTCAAAGAGACTCAAACAAAGCCCAGGAAATGTGCGTGCATCAAATAAAAAGGGTTGGATCCAGATTTACACTGAATCAAGTGCATTGAGGGAGGTGGACTTCCTCATCCCCTCCTTTCCATGGCAGCTTCTCCATTCCCGCTGAACACGGTATGCAGAAAATCAGAAGACCTTGATAAAAAGGGTGAGCTGTCCTGTGGGGGAAAGGATGTACAAAACTCAAGCAGCAGAATCTCACACATATGGACCCTTTCCTCTTAGGGAAAGAGGATCCTGGATTCAACCCAGTCCCTTTATAGATCTGCACAGTGCTCTGCATTCTGAAGACCAGCATTTTCATGGTTTTATCAAGGTTTGTGTTTAGGGGGAATACGTATTTGGCTGTGAAAGTCAAATTCTGAAAGAGGAGTGCAATGCACCAAGTGTAGAGGTGGAACTCAGAAAATCTGGACAAACTCAAGCCTTGCTGATTATCAAATCTACCTCACACCCACTTCTAATTTTTTGAACCACATTTATCCATCTGTCTCCTTCCTTTCTGTGTTCCTTTTGTTTTTTCTTTCCTTTCTGATCCTTACTCCCTTCTTCCTTTTAAAATGAGCAAAGGTTGGTGGGGCAGTTTTGACCTCAGAAGGCTCCCTTCTCTTTCCAGTGATTGATGGTACTTGGGCAGTCCATTAGTGCAGTCTCCCCAGCCTTCTGCCCTTTAGTTGTGATGGACAAAAATTTCCACCAGGGGATTCTGGGAATTGTAGTGCAGTGCATGTGGAGAAATGATTCTGTATGACAGTGGAAACAGCTAGCTAGAGAGGTGGTGGGCTCTTCTGCACTAGACACATTCAGAAAGAAACTGGACAGCCATGTGAGTGGGATGGTGTAAATTGGTGTCCTGCAACAGCAGGGGTTGGACCTGATGGCCTTCGCGGCTCCTGTCAACTCTGCTGTTCTCTGATTCTAAGTATCAGGTTGGGAAAGACTGTACTGGTTTCCAAGTAAATAATTCAAATGTCATGTGACTGGGTCAAGTTAAGTGCAACCTTTAATGACAGTCATTTTGCAGTCTTCTTGAACTCCCTCCCCCCCCCCCCCCTACAACTTGGGAGCAGAATAATTGAGGGGGTAGTTCTACCTTTCAACCTGCCCAAACACTACAGTCATCAAATGGCATGCTCCTGATGGTTTCCTATGGGCATATGGCCCAGTTGGAGTCTACCTGCAGAAGAGCCTTCAGTGTGGTGGCCCCATTTCTCTGGAATTCCTTATCTGTTAAGGTTACACAGGCACCAGCATAGTGTTATTTTCCAGCACTTCTTGAAGATACCAATATTTCAGGAAGCCTTCCTTGGTTGACCAACCACTTATTCCCTCATTTCTTGTTTTATTTTTTTATTTGCTTATTGCTCAATGCTCCAGGATCTGTTTAGGTGTGGAGTAGTATATAATTGCAAATAAAGAATATATTGTCATGTAATTCAGGTCTCAGCCAACTATTTAATGTGGGTTAAACCCTGATTTGGCCAAATGTTAAGTAGACCAATTGAAATTAGTGTTTCTGAAGTTAGTAATGACTCACATAAGTCATGGGACATAAGTCCATTGATTTCAGTTTGTCTTAAGTCTAATTAAGCCTGGATCCAACCAACTATGTGAAAACTTTAGGCTAGTGGCTATTTTTGGCAACTGGATAGGAAAGGTAATTTGTTTGTCTTTTTCGCTTTTTAACTTTTTCACGGTTTGCTCAGTAATCAGTCGCAATGAATTAGATGCTGTCTTCATCCCGTATGACCTGAAGAGGCTGGAGATGTACTCAAGGAACATGGTGGACTATCATCTCATTATGGACATGATCCCCTCCATTGCTAGGATGTATTTCCTCAAGCAGCTTGGGGATATGACCCTTTCTGCTACACAGTCTGTAGGTACCATTATGTTTAGTTACTGTTATGTTAATTTAACTCTTCTCACACAATGGACAGTCTGTGAACCTTCAGCTGATACCATGTTTCCTTCGGTGGTGTCTTATTGCCAGTGTTCCAATACAGTGTGCGTTTCATTAGCCCTCAAGTCTTTGTTTCGCTTGTATCTGGACTGACTTCCATGGAGTTCAGTAGCATGCATGGGGCTCTTCAGGTAGCCTCTTAACCAGAAACTTGTCAGGACGAAGCCTGCTTAGCTTCCAAGCTGGACCTACATCATGCACCTTGCAGCCATTTAGGCTCACTTTTTGAATCGAACAATAGCTGTGATTTAATTCCTGCAGGCTGATTTTAGCACCCTTTTGAAAATTCCAATTGTCATCATCTGAAGACTTTCTCCATCTTATTTTGTGAGCATCTGTGGATCCCATGGGCTATCAACACTGCGAGTTGAGGGTGGGAGAATACAGAACATAAGGCAGGCATTGGAGCCGAGGCCATAGAGGATCCTGTGATCCCAGATCCTGAGTGTGTAATTCAGTTGCCCTTGAAATCTTGAGGGACTTAGCAGAACAGAAAGAATGCTATGGAAGAAAAGGAGAAGGCGACATGGTGGGGGCTGCCAGGAGGCATTTCAGTGGAAAATTAGCAAAGGGGGAGTAACAGAAAAGAGCATGGCAGCCTGCAGAGGGACTTAGAAAAAAGAGCATGAGCGATGTGCTGTGGGGTGCAAATGAAAGGAGTGCACATTACATAATGGATACAAGGAGGAGTAACACGATCTGTGATTGTTCAGAAAGAATTGTGTGTATACTATGTGTGTGCAAAGAGGGTAGAAGATTAGCAAAGAACGAAATGAAAGAAAGCATGGTTAAAATTGCAAGAAAAACGTTACTCTGCAATTAATGAGATGTGGCTCTCTTGATGGACTAAAAATGTTAAAATGTTCCTCTGAACAATGTACTCCTAAGCTAACTTCTGAAACCAAAGAAATTATCCTGGTCACAAACTGATGTGAATGAATATGTTCTGGTACTTCCAGTCCAAGGCCCAGAGTTTTCATTCCGTAATACAAAAGCTTCATTCTATTGTTGCATTTCTGTTCTGTTTCAAAGCAGTGAAACTTTCTGTTCCACCAGGCTCTTCTTCTTGGAATTGGTCTGCAACACAAAACTCTGGATCAGCTGGAGAAAGAGATAGAACTGCCTAGTGGCCAGTTGATGGGCCTCTTCAATAGAAGCATTCGCAAGATTGTGCAGGTAAATACCGTTTTAGGGCTTGCATTTAGGAGGACTAAGCATGTGCTAAACACTGCAGTGTCCAGATCAGAACTGAAGGATCCTTCATTGACTATCTCCAGTGTGTTGTTCTGAATGCACTCCAACGTTGTGCAATAGGCTCTGTTAGGATGGCTCTTAGGTGTTGGATAAACCTAAGATTTCTGAGCTTAAACTATGTAAGACATTCAGTTATGTCCAAGTTTTCCATAACTTTTGTTTTTAAATCAGAAAGCCAAGGTGTGTGGCAGGGGAGGGGAGGGGTTGTTTAATCCCTTTTCTGCCGATTGTCATCTCAAAACTGTATTTAGGTCAGGAGAAAGTTACATTTCTGAGTATCATGTATTGTTTGAGTCTGATGATGAGAAAGACTTTCTTTTGTTACCTGGGTCTGAGAACTTTGCTTTTTGGTTATGCAACTGGAACTTGCCATGAACATTGCAGTATGGGGTGTTCCAGTAGCCAACCACGACCTCTTCCAAGATATTGCATTCCATGACCAATGAGCAAGCTCAGTCCTTATAAGACTGGTTTTTGCCCTTCCACACCCACTCACCATTTAGGGGTCTTTTACTGTGTTCTGCAGACCCTGGAGTTGGCCTGAACCTGTTGATACCACCCTCGTGTGTGTGGATGGTTCCCTTTTGACTGCTTAAAGATTTGAACTTGGATGATGAAGTTTGCTATTAGAATAAAGGATGAAGCAGGGAGCCCAACTTACAGCCCTCCAGACTTTGGCTTACAAATCCCACCAACCTTCACCACTGGCTAATATACTGTTGCTGATGGGAGTTGTCGGCCAAAATATCTGGAAGGCCTCAATTATCTTGCTCCTAGAAAAGAAGTAGTTGCATGGATGTTCACTTTAAAGGCACAGTGGACCTACCTATGGAATATATCAGGCTTGTGATTTTATCATTATAAATATGACTTAAAACTTCTTTATAAAAATGTAACTCCTTTTTATTAATCAAATGAGAGAGGCACACATTGCAGAAGTGTCACGCTGGATGGCCATTATCTATATCAAAGCTTGTTTCTCTGGAAGTGAGGGGATGAAACATTCCATTGCTCATTGTTGTTCTTTGTCTAGTTGTTCAATACTATCCAGGAAAGGGCTGTGGAAGAGCAGATGACAGCAACAAAAGAAGTTGAAATGGAGCCAACCCTGAAATCTTTAAATGAGGACTTGGTAATTCTTCTCCATGTTAAGATGCCATATGCTAGTAGTGTATGCAGCAGATTCTCCGTATCTCCCCCAGCATCAGTCTAATATTTCTTTAATCCATAACTTGATGGAGGATGGAGATACCAATAGCCATTAGCCCTGGCAGTTAAATAGAACACCCGTGTATAGAAGTGCTCCCCCAGGAATACTGGAGATGGGGAGGTGTAGCTCCCCCTCCCCCGAAAAAAAATCCTAGTGATAGCTGGTACCATCACGCTGGGCTTCTGAACACCCAGAGCCAACTGGCGCATCAGTCTTGGGAACAGAATGCTGGACTGGTGGGGTGTCTCTCTTATCCAGCAAGGGCACTTTTGTGTTTTCTCCCCATAAGGCGTTTTGATAACTTGTAACTTTTCAACTGAACAAACATGTAATTGAGTGCATGGTGTCTGAATATTAAGGAGGGATATTCACCCTGAGAATGCCTACCTCCCGCTTAAAATGCACAGCTTACACTGTGCTGATTGAAATACATCAAGAAGCAAGTGGGCCTCTAGGAAGTTAACTTTGTGGCAACTTGTGGCTGGTATGATTGTGCTTGGCTTGGGAGCTGTTAACTTTTTAATTTTTTAAAATAACTGCATCAAGAATGCATTGCTAATACAGCTGTTTTCCCGATGCAGGAAGAAGCAGCAAGAGAATTTCAGGAAAAGCACAAGCAAGATATAGGGAAGTTAAAAGACCTGGACCTTTCACAGTAAGTCCTCCTTCTGTGCCTCCCCCAGCCCTGCAAAGTAAATAAACAGTCTGCAGAAGAATCATAAGGTCTCAGCTATTTGGCTGCAACACCCTCCAAAGACCAAGAATGCTACCTGTGAAATTTAGTCTTGTTTTGATTTTACATAGGATGACCACCTGTGGGGCTGTGAATGGCAGGATATTATCCATTAGGTTGGCAAAGCCATTCTGACATGGTACTTTGTTTTGGAGATGAATGCCTCCCTAATGGGCCTAAAGCAGCTCAGAGTTGACTTTGAAGTTCTGCCAACTCTAGTTAGTCATTCTGCAGATGGTAAAGAAAGGATATCCTCAAAATCCCATAACCACTTCCTGAGCCAGGCAGCTGTCTAGCAGGGGTCATCTTGGCCTGCTCTGGGTGGAATCTTACGCCTTGCTGAAACAGGTGTGCCATCATTCCTGTGGTTTCTTAAGGCACAGACTTGAAGTTGCAGTGGCTTCGGTGCAGCCCAGGCAAGGACAAGACATCCCATACTTGTTTACTCTCTCCCAAGGGTGGTGACCTGGGGGAAGGCATCGGATGCATGTGTGTTATTCTGGCTGCAGTATAACTCTTGATATAAACCCTGGAGCTTTTTGATAAGAGTGCTGTCAGATCTGGAACGCTCATCACTTAAGGAACCATATCAGGAAAGTGATAAAAGCCTGGGGATAACAGTCTGTGATCCCCAGCCTTTGCAACCATTTTAACATCTGCCTATCTGGCCTGGCTTTTTTTTCTTTTAAGATCACTTCTTGTGAGGAACTGCAGGCAACTTAAATAGCTCCATTTTATCCGCCCAGCAGCAGCCCTGACTGGTCTAAAAAGCTTCATGGCTGAGTGGGGACAAGATTCTGGATCTCCAGTACTCAAAGCACTATTATGCAGGAATAGCTTGCTTGGGTGTAAACTATCAGTCATGGAGCAAAAACAAACCACTCTACAACTTCTCCCCTGTTTATGTATGACTTCTGACCACCTAATCCTTAATCACAGTTAAATTTTAGGTCTGATTGCCATTAATTGGCTTTTGGAGCTGATGAATAATGAGGGGGCTTATTTAATTTTGAAACAAAAAATCAATGTAAAGTTTTTCCAGTGTTCAGTAGGGTGGCTGTAGCTTGGTGATCAAAGGTGATTTGGCACCTTCAGGACTGCTTCTGATTTGCACTTTCACCTTAGCCTACCTGGCCATGTTCTTCTTCACTTGCACAAGCATTATCACTGAAGTCAGGGTCTTGGTTGCAGCATCAATTGGAATCTTCTGCCTGGGTGGCTTTGACTGAAAAGGTTTTTTAAATCTTTTCTTCATACTTAGATACGTGATCCGAGGTGATGATGAAGAATGGAATGAAGTGCTGTCCAGAGCGGGACAAGGTGCTTCCGTTGTCAGCCTGAAAAGGTTAGTGTGATAGCACACTTTTCACAAAGGATTCTGCCCTAACCTGGTGTGTCCAATTTCTCCACATTACTGGGAGACTGCTAGTGCCAGACAAAGAGTGTCAGGCCATTGGAAGAGGCAAAAGTGCCTCTCCAACAGCAGCAAGAAAAGCCTGCGGGATGGCACTACACCCCTGGAGAACGCCCCCACCCCCCGGCCAGTTTGCCAGCAGAAACCTTCAGTAAAGATGTCCCATGAACAGTGGAGTTGGAGTGCAAACAGGCATGGGAAGCGGGGCAGGGGGCAGATCCTAAACTCCTTTGTTCCATGACTTACCTAAAAATTGGGCCCTAATCTATGCCAGCGCCAAAGCATCATGAAATCCCTCCCTTTGACCACACAGGAAGGAACGTGCAAACAAGCATGCGGCCTCACACAATCTAATCCAGTGGAAAGGGTGGGAAGGCTCCTCCGACCTTGGCCACAGCGGCCTGGCAGGGCTTTGGGTGTGGCACTTCCTCTGCCATGAAATTCCACGCTGCTGCCATCACCACAGGATGCCTCTGCCCACGAATCGGAAAGAAACTATGTCACTGAACTTCTTCAAAGCAGACCTTTGAAGTTAGAGATCCTAGGATGGGTTAACTTAAGGAATTTTCCCGAATAAACATTTCCTGTTCCTCTTTCTCCCAGCAATCCCTCATTCCGATTTGTTCAGAAGGGCCCCAAAACACTCTCACCCTACTCCAGAGGTTGTGGGGCAGCACAGGCAGCTGCAGAGCAGAGGGGTGGGAAATGCGCTCCCTGTGACATCGCTTCCCTTACGTTGCTTCATATTAGGGTGCAGACATTAGATTATCCAATAGTCATTCTCAAAAGTGACCCCTATGTGTTGACTTGGACTTCTAGTGTATCTTCTTCCGGGCCTCCTTAACATAAGGATAAATGCAGTTAGGGCTGCCTACATTTTGCAGTGCCAAGCACAACAGAAACAGTAGAGAATGTGAACAAAGAAACGGGCATCCTGAGAATCCACGCTTCATTGAGAAAGAAAGAAATCGTTCCTAAACTATATTGTTGTAAAAAGCTCAATACATGTGTGGAAGAAGGACTGTGAGTTCTAGTAGTTTGGGCAAGACTGTGGTGTCCTTGAATAACTCCCAGTACCTGGCATAAGGCAGAATAAGTTATCTAAAGTAAGCAAATACAGTCATACTTGCTGAAACCATATGAGTATAATGAAAACAGATGGTTTGTGGAATTTCTGGCCTGTGGGCCAAATGCAGACTTCAGGACTCTGCTCAGCCCTATTTCAAGTAATCGGTGCTCTGTCCTGCTCTTCCTCTGATGGGGGAGCATTGCACAATTGGAGGAAGGATGCAAATGTCCATTGTTGCTGTTGCACACTGAACAAAGGTAGGTGTCCGCTTGTCGTGTATGGCCATGGATGCAGTCACTGCTTGGAGCACTGAGCTGGAGCACTGAGCTGAGGTTTTGATGAAGGCAGCAGAGACTTGGGCCAGAAAGATTCCCATCAGCATAACGGATGATAAATTTGCAGTTTGCAGGTTAGCTTTCCTGGTTTCAGAATATTTGTTCCTTACATAGAATTGTGATCCCCTTTCTGGTTTTAGCACTGCATACACTATGGTTTTGGGTGGTTTGATTTCTTATTTAGTGACCAGTGCATCATGTTCTCCCTCAGTGACAAGAAGAGAAAATCAGAAGCCACAACAGGACCAAAACAGGAGAAGAAATTTAAGAAAATCCCCCAGAAGCAGAAGTGGAAGAAATAATCCAAAAAAAAATCACATGTGGACATGGAATTTGTTTTGTGAACTGATTTCTTTTCCAAAGAAAATGGCTTTAAGCTATGAACAAAACCATGCCCTGGAGTGGAAAGGCCTGAAAGATTTTTTAATATAGAGGCAGCCTTGAAGCAACACAGCTTGGAAGATATTTTTTTACTGGCTGCCAGCTCAGCATTTGTGTTATGTTAAAAGGAAGTGTAGAGCAGCAAACTGGATTATTACCAGGAGTCATAACTCTTTACTGTTTAGCCCAGAAAACCCTCTGTATTGTGTGCCTAAGAGACCTATAAACATCTTTGCTTTCTCTCTACGGTTTGTTGTTCTTACTAGTGATTTTGGAGGGGAGGCCTGAGGCTCAGTATCGTGTCTTTTGTTTTTAATTAAAAGCTGGTATTATTAAGTGTTTTAATACAATGAAGTGTTGAAACATTCCATGGGCGTTGAAGCTACTTCAGATGGCTTGCTAACCATCATTATACTTTTTGGATGATAAAAAATTAGCACCTTTTATGCATGAAGTTTTGTAGTCAGTTTTGGCCATTGTATCATTGTATCCAGGCTGGCTGCTGGTACCATTCAAACTGGAGAATATGGCAGGAAATGAATTAATGTTTCCACAACTTGGTCCCAAAATTGCATCATTCTTGATTTTTATTTTTTGTGCACAGTATCATAGTTATATCCATGTCCCACAGTGTATCAGCAAAGAAGTGATTATAATTTATGTGTGTGGTCTCAGGTAATGGCCTTTTTGGGGGGCTGTGATTGATTTGAATCCAAAACTACCATTGGCAAGGAGAGCCTAGGAATGCCTTATTGCAGCGCCTCCATTTTCTTGCATAGCGCATTGCCAGTGAGGCTTTGCATGTATCCCTGTGCAGCTTCGTGGATATCTTTCAAAACATAGACTCTGATACAGAATTCAAAACTGAATTGCTCTACTTCATTCCTACATCAACACTAACACAAGTTGCTAGTCCTTATGGCTCCAAAGAAAAGCTATTTGCTGGCCTGTAGTGTTTGGTAAAATCTCAGAAGAAAGAAAATAGCTGAGAAGAAATGATGTAATGGTTTGTGACCATGAATTATGCGGTGTGACTTCACTGCTCTCCAAGGCTGTGCTCCTCTGGCTATTATTCCCCGGGGCATCCCACCTTTCTTTACCCAGTCAATGTTATCCAAAAAAAGCAGAATATTAGAATAAATATTCAAATTGAGGTGGGTAAATTAAGTTGGCATAATATTTGTACTTTTCTTTGAGTTTCTGCCTGTAGACGAGGGGGACACAGTTTCAGGAGCCCAAGCTGTGTGTTTATGTTGGCCAACATAGGAGGAGCAACGCCTTTTACTACTACACATGTTTAAAGCATATTTTCCAGCTCATTTTAGCTTGGATTGAGCCACTTTCCCTTGGCCTGAACCATTTAGGGTTTGAGGTCTGGCTTGCAAACAGCAGGTTTGCCGGGGATTAGATATGATTGCAACCCCAAAGGTTCCAAAACCCACAGGCCACCTAATCATGAAATTAGCTTTACAGTGTGAGATTTTGAGAAATGCTTCTCGATGTGGCTTTTTGATTTGGGCTTGGAGTAGCTGTGAGTTCCCTCCGCACCGCCAAGCTTTCCCCCTAAAGCTGTAACAACTCGAAAATGCTAAACCATCATGTTCTCAGGCCTATGAATTGCAACATCTGCAGGAATGTGAGACTTGTGATAGCCATTTCAAGTTGTTCTATCTTGACAGAAGGAGCTGGTAGCATTTCCGCAACAAGCATTACAAAGATACCATCTAGCCCAGCTTTTCAAGGCTATGTACCCACCTACATGGTTGTATGGGGGAATTAATAAATGCTCCATGTCTATAGTAATTTACTCAGGCTTCTATACTATCCCACCACTGGAACATCTGGTTCCATGTCCCATCAGCTCTCACAGAGACCTACCACAGCCTTCCAACTTGAAAAATTGAACTAGAAATGGCAAGGATTAGCCATCTTCATTTTTTGTTTTGTTTGGGTATAGGCATGGAATCAGTGGGGTCTTAGCCAAACAACCTTATCCTGGTTGCCATTACTGTGTGAGGGGGCATGAGGGGGGGTCCCGCATTGCCACAGGCTACTTCCCATTTCTATCCATAGACAGGTGTTTGGACAGCAGCTTGCCACTGGACAGCTGTCTGAGAGGAATGGTTTAATTTGGTGTCCTACCCAGAGCAGGGGGTTGAACCCTCTGGCCCTTTCCAGGCACACTATGCTGTGATTAAATTCTTGGGGTGTGTGTTGAAACAAAACAGAATGTAGGCTTGCATGGACCGTGTTGGGGGAGACCTGCTTCCTTATCTGTATTCTCACACAGGAAGGGAGTCTTTTTTCCATGAACATTCATTCACAGATTCCCTTCCAGCATCAGAAGTGATACAGTCCAGCAGGGCTGGCTCAGGGCCTTTTGGTGCCTCTCCCTCCTCAGGCTGAGGTTTCTAGTTCTTAAGGTAGGCCAGGTTATTCTAGCAGGGAAAAGACACCCCCCCCCCAGCACCTTTGATTAAAAAGACAACAGCAAAAGTAAAACTACAGTAAGAGTACAAATTATTGTCTGTATGACACACAAAATCAGTGGCCTGATCTGGCTGCCTACCCCAAAACAGGCATAGTGTTGTCTCCTTAACAAAAATGAAGTCTTAATATTTATTCTTGGTTGCTAAGTATAATGGTCACTGAAGGATGCTGTCAGACTAGTGAGAGTATTTTAGAAAAGGCTAGAGATATGATGTGTGTTAGGCTAGCTCCTTTTTTAAGCAGCAGAAATGGATCGGGCATGGCAAACTTGTAAGGATTCCAAAGCAGCAGTAATGGAATACTGCTGCTTTGGAATCCTTTATGCTTTTATTCCTTTATTTGGAAAGGAATAAAAGCATAACATAAAAAGATGAGGGGAAAGCTAGGAAAGGCAAGGGAAGACTGAGAAGAATGAATAGAATAAGCAAAGGGAGAATGATCATTGCAAAAGATTTAGCGCCTTATGTACACCAGATAAATAATGGCATTTAGAAACATTTTCGAGTTATTTTTTTTTTCGAGTTATAGCCTGCCTTTTTCCTACAAAGAGCTCAAGTCTCCCAGGCCATCTAGTCTGACCCCTGGCTCCAGTGAGCTTCACTAATGACATGCCTATCATGTGCATGTCCAACCTGTCCTTAAACATCTTCATCGATGGGCTTCAGCCGCCTCCCTTGGAAGCTCCTTCCATACCCTTAGGAGTCCTAACCATCAGGAAGTACTTCCTGGCATCCACCCTAAATCTTAGTTCCCTGAGCTTTGCTGCATAGGAACACATCCTGCCCTCCACTGCAGAGGAAAAACGGTCACAACCCACCTCTGCCTGATGCCCCCTCACATACCTGTATGTCGCTAACAGGTCCCCTCTGAAACTCCTGGAGGCTGAAAAGACCCAGCTCCCTCAGTCTTTCCCATATGGCTTACCCTGTAAACCAGTCACCATCCTTGTGGCCTTTCGCTGCAGTGATTCCAACATTGCTATATTCTTTGGGTATAGCAATGAGGGGCCCCAAACTGGACACAATGCTCCAGCTATGGGCGCACCAGAGTCGTCTAGAGTGGTGGTAATACCTCTCTCGATCTAGAAGCCACACTTCTGGCTATGCGTCCAAGGGTGGCGTTCGCCCTCTTGACCACCGCATCACACTGCTGACTCATGTTCAGCCTGCAGTTAACCAGCACTCCAAAATCCTTTTCACATGTGCTGCTCTCTAGCCATATGTGCCCTAACTTGTACTTTATTATGATGATTTTATTCATTCTATTTGGTTACATATGAGACTCAAGCAGAATTTTAACATTGGTGGTATTCTGGTGTTACTACATATGTGAAAATCAGTGTTTATGGGGGCCAGGAGAACTTGAATGTCCCTGGTATACTCTTGTGTCTTGCATTGTCAATGACTGGAGAAACAGCTGCTGCAGTCCAGAGCTGTGCACAGGTTTGTGCATGTTCTGAGAAAGGAGAAAACAGCCTTTCATCCTCAGATAGCTTTAAAGGATTTAAAAAGATGTCTTAAAAATCCATCTCATTGTTCTACGCTGAGTCCAGGCCACAGTTACATGCTGGGAGCATAGCTTAGCAGTAAGAAACAGGCTAGTAGGGTTAGCAGTGCAATGCTGCAACAGGTAACACTCAGAACTGCCCCTGCACTAGCTGTAATTCTATTACACTTGTGTAAACCCATGCTAGTTTTACGAGCATTTGCTAGGGCAATGGGGAAAAGCAATGATTTGCCATTGCAATTTGCAGTGGTACCAACATTGGGCAGCAAATCTTTTTTTCCATTGCCTGAGCAAGGGTTGATAGTGTCCTAGTATGCTAGTGTGATGGCCTTAGCTAGCACTGACCCCTTAGCTAGCACTTCTATGGCAAGTCTAGACAGCATACTAAAAAGCAGAGCCATCACCCTGCCAACAAAAGCGCGTATAGTCAAGGCTATGGTTTCCCCAGTTGCAATGTATGGCTGTGAAAGTTGGATCATAAAGAAGGCTGAGCGCAACAGAATTGAGTCGCTTGGACTGCAGGGTGATCAAACCAGTCAGTCCTAGAGGAGATCAATCCTGACTGCGCTTTAGAAGGCCAGATACTGAAGATGAAACTCAAATACTTTGGCCACCTAATGAGAAGGAAGGACTCACTGGAGAAGAGCCTGATGCTGGGAACAATTGACGGCCAAAGAAGATGGGGATGGCAGAGGATGAGGTGGCTAGATGGAGTCACTGAAGCACTTGGTGTGAGCTTAAGTGGACTCCAAGGGATGGTGGAGGACAGGAAGGCCTGGAAGAATGTTGTCCATGGGGTCGCAATGGGTCAGACACAAGTTTGCAACTAGCAACAAGTGACATGCTAGTGTGATGACCTTAGCTAGCAATGACCCCAGCAGGATACTACCCAATGCGTTCTTGGGTCCTAAAAGAAGGAATGGGAGCCTTTTGATGCCATCCAGATCTGAGGAGGGAGGCATTTCCGGAGTGGAAAGGGATAAACAGGCTCCTCTTACCTCAGCTTTGTAGGCCTTTCCCTGCTATATTACCCAAGAGAACTGCCAACCCCACACCCTGACCCATTCGCAGCTATGTAGTACTGAGGTCAACTCCTGACAGTGAGAAAGGGAAAGGTTCCTTTTCCTTTATCTCCTGGAATAGATTTAATATGGAGGTATGGGGCATTAAACCTTAATGAACTGCACTCCCTCATCCCACAGGATGCTGACTACAGACTGTGAAGGGCTTCAGCACATCACTTCCCTCCC